TAAAATGGGCGGAAATCTTACGATTTCACTGGGTAATCTTATCAATGCCATTAATTCGATAACAAACGAATATTCGAAGCACTTCGGGTTGAGGGGGAAGGGGGCACTTGGGCACTTTCTCTACTTCCTGTTCGTCGTGTTTATTGCTAGGTATCACTTCATGGCATCACGATGTTTCGCAAACCTCTCCTTGATGGCTTGACACGACGATGGGAAGTAGCGAAAGTGCGAAAATCCCTCCCCTGAGCCGAGCGGCGCCCAAAATTTTGTTAGAATTCACCTGATGATCGTTTCAGAGGCAGAAATTAGTCCAATCAGGCTGCTAGCAGAGAACCTCTGACTTCGAAGGGTGGTCGAGAAATCCAGGAAATCTAGCACTGACTTGGTATGTCCATATGTAGGCTCACGTCAGCTGATCGAGTTTATATAGGTAACCAAAATGAGATGACGGAAAACACTTGGTGGCTCGCGCTAAACTGGCCATTTTTCACAGCAACGTGCAAGAGTAACTCAAACAACGTGTAATACAACAACTGGCGAGCAAATACCATAACAATTTATGTGCCAAACTGGAAGTATGCTCTGCAGCATATTTCATGATGTCTAACAATATCCAATCCAAGCAATATTGAATATCCATTCCGCACAGTTCTCATGGGCGGAGTCAGGCCTTACATCTCAGAAAATTTGCATGATTTTGAGTGTACTTTATCTTACAGCAGACTGCCTGCAGTGATGAAACGTCTATAATATATCAAATGAAAGCGGAGATCTGATTATTACTTTGTGCACTGCTGCCCGACTATTTTCAGGCCAACATTTTGTCAGATTTTGTAGTGTTTTTCTCCTTCAACTCACTAAGGAGCTGGATCCCACGTAGTTTTATCCTGTTCATTGACTGCTGGATTGTTTCGCTACGCCAGTCAGGGCACAGAACTGCGGAGAATTGAGAGTCGTATCTGTCACTGAGGAAGGCGCCGTAGCTATCCTCAGAAGAACTTCCCGAGTCTCGAGAGGACTTTTCCGATTAGCGATTTTTCCCGTTCTATGAGTGCTGTAGGAAACGACGCCCGACTCCAGTTTTCTTGGGACAATCCGGTAAAATTACCTGGGAATTGGTGCAGAGCTGGACAAACTTGATAAGATAGTAGATAGATTGTGAGAGGAGTAAATGTGTAAGGGGAATGTTGGGGGTGGGTGTCTTGAGTCATTTCATCTATATGCTGTATCCTGACGGCAGCCGTTCACGTACACCATGTCCCCTAGAACCTTCTCAGGAATCCTCCAACGGCCATGTTTCGAGGGAGTCGCCGAATTTTTCTTTTTGTCCACGAAATTTACATTTGTTTCGCTAAAGTTCTTGACTACCTTGTTCATCCAGTGGGAGCTGGTCTGGGTTGTAAGTATAGTATATACCAGCATTTTGATGCGGTAGGGTGTAATTCAGCACCGACTGGGCGCCGCGATATGTCAAGTCAAGTTGCTGAGAAGATTCCTGCTTTGCGCAGACGTCGCTACTCGGATGTCCTGAATTGTACCCGAAAGGGTGAGCTCTGATTTGAAGGAATATTAGACGTCATAACTTCGAGTGGCTCTTACTCGCTGGTTCTGCGCTCCTTCAGCGAAGAGTCCGCGTGCTAATAAGGAAGCTAGAACAACCATGTAGTTCCAATCCTTTCACCGCCACCGACTGACGGATTTGTTATTGAACATGGACTGTTTCCCGATAGTTGCTGTGCTGGCCAGGCACGCATTTCAACATGTCCGTACAGAAGACGAATTCATGGCTCATCCAGAATGCACAACAGTAGCATATTGAGTAGTTGGACACCTTGGCTACCTTGTAGGGATGTAATTAAATAAATAAACAAATTAAATTTATTCATTATTTTATTCTGAATGTAAAACCACATAAAAAGAGGTGCTGAACCGCTCTTCCGATCTAAACTCGAAAGATGCAAAAAAAATCCGTAAAATTCCTGGAAAATTTTCATTCTTAATATTTTATGAAACATACTATCAATAAAATTGTCTCGTGTATAAGTTTTGATTCTTTTTGAAAATTTCCTTTGGCAAATGAAAATTTTTGGTGCGTCTCTTCTATGTGTTTTATCATTCAGATTGCAAGAAGGCTCGAAACAGCAATTTTAAGACATGATTATTTGTTTATTTTTCATTCTCACGTAAACTTATATACAATCGCTTATTAAATGTACAAAATCAGATCATGAATCAGGAAACAGTTGAAAATAAGTTAACCGAATATTCCGCCTCCTAACATCCCAGTGCCTCCTAAGCGAATATTACGCACCCGAAACCCGGGTTGAAGTTGGACACACTATTAGGACAGCAAGCTGGAACGCAGGCATTCAGGATAAACGTCGAAGGGGTGGTTGTTGTTCCTGTTATCGCCGCTCCTGGACAAGGACCTGAAAAATATGTGATACGTTCTAGCTAAAAAGTGATCGATAATAAGGGCTGCTGATAAAGAAAAACAGCATGTTTCAGAGAAGTTAAGGTAAATTCAATGCGTGCCATAACAGTACGAATTGAGGAAAACAGGTAACGAATTAAGGAAAAAGGTAGCTTTGGTGCGTGGTCGAAGAGCTCGGCGGATGCACCCGGCTGCCGGATACTGCAGAAGGCACTGGAAGTCAGGCTTAATGCGTGTATGCGCAAGCAAATTGCAGAACACCAAGCTATTCTATGCAGAGCAAAGAAGGAAGAAACGGTGGGGAGTATAATCTCCCGCGACGCTAACGTCAGCTAATTATCTATGGGCTATAATGGTGATGTTTATGATCAACTTTAGAAACTTATATAGCCCTCAGTAATGGCCCCGAAGGTGCAATGATAGCTGCAATCTCTACTAACAGTTGAACAAGCCCGCTTTTCCGTCGAAGATGCTTCTCTATAGCTAAATATGCTTTTCAGCTCATTTCCATGTCCCGGGTTTTACAGGTTTCATCCTCTGATAATCCTTCCTTTTCTTCTATGGGCTCTATGTAGTAAGCCAACGTGGGCACTGTGCCATCGGTCTCTTTACCTTTGGAGTGCTGTGTGGTGCCCTAGCTTTTGCGCCCCTTCCTTTTGTCGCTGCGACGACCCCCGGAACATGCCGCCAGTCTTTTCTTCTCCGGAGCTCAGGTGGCGCGTCAATATTCACATGAATAGCCTGATACCCACAATTTTCAGTCACGACATTTGCTGTTATTCCTCCCATACTTCTTAGTATCAGGGCCATGTATCCGATGAGGGGATAGGGATTAGAAGCGGCACTAACGACCTGGTAGTGGATGATCCGATCTGGTGAGAAAACCACTTTCCAAGAGAAATTGCTACGTCTGTCGACACTCGAGGAGTATACTACGGAAGGCGTTCGTCGGCGACGGGGAGGGTGGGGCATTCTGCATTTCCCTGCTTCACTACTTCTGCTTTGCAAGTCTCACTCTGGTGAAACATGTGAATTCTTGTGAAGCTGGAGCAAGTTCGTCGAGCAGCATGGTAAAACCTGTCAACTCTTGTAAGCTCACGAAATGGCTGTCAAGATGGGTCAACTCGTCGATGGGAAGTCGAAAAAGTGCAGAATGTCCCCCACCCCCTTGCCGAACTGCCCCATTAGGGATCTGAGAGGAGGCCGAATGCCGGGCGCACCTCACTGCCGAGTTCATCGATCGTTCTGCGTGTCACCTCTCTTGAACCTCGGG